GGGAGGTGGGGGAGGTGGGGGAAGTGGACGAGGAGGAGTTTGCCAAGGAGGTGGAGGAGGTGGAGGAGGAGGAGATAGAGGAGCAGGAAATCTATAAGAAGCACGCTGTAAATATTGAGAAATGCTGGTTATGGTTAGAGATGGAAGAGGAGGAAGAGAAAGAAGAAAACGGAGAGAAGGAAGAAGAGGAAAAGAGGAAAGAGAAGGAAGAGAAGGAAGAGAATGAAGAGAGTGAAGACAAAGAGGGAAGAGAAGATAGTGGTGGGGATTGTGAGTAAACAGCAATTACAAACTACAAAGAAAACAACAAAAATTTAAGAAAAGGAATAGAAGGAACAATTAAGGAGTATGAGGATGAGCAGGGGGACGGGGAGGAGCTGAGAATGAGTTTCCAGCTGACAGTCAATGAGTTACTGAAAAGAAAAAACAATTCAAGAGAGACAATCACAGTTTTCGTAAAGCATACAAGACAACTCTCGAGTCATTGCCCTTGAATATCAACTTTTTTTTGTTTGTTTCAAGAAATTTTGGGAGTTATATTTTATCCACAGCAAGAACAATACTTAAAGCCTAGAAGCTGGATCCTGCCTCACCTGGGATCAAGGGTTGTAGAAAACGTGAAAAGGGCTCTCGGGTCAGTGCCCCTTGAATGTATTTTTTTTTTTCAAATTAAGAAATTTTTACAATTTACATATAGATCTACATGCATATATATTTATTCGCAGCAAGAACATCACTATACCTCAGCACCCTCATCCGAGAGGATTAGATACTCGATCCCACCCAACCTAGGATCAGGGGTTGTAAAAGAAAACTTTTTTTAAAGCCCGACGTAATGGATATTGACTCTAGGCCTCCGGGTTGACAAGGGAACACCATACCATACTTAACTGATTCTCTGTTGTTTTCGGTCGCCTAGCTGTTAATATACCTTTTTAAATCTAATTACTCCTACCAGTAAGTCTTCAACCCTTTTAGAACGCAGAGGACACGTATGTCCGATCAACAACAGACCACAATGCAATAATGCGACACATTTCGAACCATCACTATAAAATGTGCATGTTGTTTGCCTGTTTAATTTCTGGGTAAAAGAAATCAGAATTGATTTTTTTATATATA